AACGCAAGTGACGGTGGCTGGCTCCTCGCTAGAGCAAGCTCAGAATAGTCTCTGCTTCTCTGTCTTGTTTGGTCTTGGCTTATTTCCACAGCTGTCCAGACCTAGACTGGGTTTGTGGTGTTAGAGTTTTGGGTGGCCACTCAGTGCGTGGTTTACGGCTCTGCTCTTTGGTACCCACCACTCTCGTATCACATTTTTCAGGACCGGTCGGCCCGCTCTTTAGAGTAGTAAAGTTGGTGACCACCTGCTACTCCTATAATGGGTTTGTTAAAGCAGGAAGAAACTGTTCTTCCTACCCATCTTAAAGAGAAAAGAACCAGCTATGTCCAGCTACAAGTTGAAAGTTATGAATTAGATTTGCAGTAATTTCACCATACATCATTTAAAAGATTTCTGTTTGATTTATTCTAGGAACCACAAACAGGAATATTAGAATCCCTTGGGTGAGGCCCAGGAATCTGTACACTGAAAAGCCTCCCAAAGAGTTCTGATGGCCTCTATGATTTGCTGGAGTGCTCCTGAGGACGTGCCACATTCCGATGCCCTCTGGACACCTTGTGCAGGTGTACTGCACACCCTACCAGAGGGGACACAAGGCTCAAACCCATTCGTGCTGCACTTTTTTCTAAGAGGCGGGTGGACAATTGACTGCAATAGTCTCACCTCTCCAGAGTCACCAACATTTCTTTTAAGGGATTCTCAGCAATCTCTACTTTGCACATAGTAGGTTTGCTTTTAAATGAATGAGTGAGCCCAGTATAGCACTTGGGGTACAGAAGGATCTGTATTTTAAAGTAGATTCCTCTTCTTAAAAACTTGAACTCATAGAAGTAGAAAGTAGAATGACGGTCACCAGAGGCTGGGGGTGGGGGTGGGGTGAGGAGAGTGGGGACTCACTGATCAAAGGGTACAAAATTTCAGACAGGAGGAGCAAGGTTTGAGATCTGCTGCACAGCAGCGTGACTGATAGTCAATAATAATGTATCGTATGCAGGTACTACTCGACCTACAATGGGATTAAGTCCCAATAACCCCACTGTAAATTGAAAATATCACGAGTCAAGTGAATTTCAGCTGTCTCACCATAAAAAAATAAGTAATTGAGGTGAGGAACAGGTTAATTAGCTTGATCTAATCATCCCTCATGGAATACATATATCAAAACATCACATTGTACTCCATAAATGTGTAAAATTATGATTTGTCAATTAAAAGCAGTATTAATAAAAATATAATACACATAAATAAAAAATATAATATAAAAAAAGGGAATGTAAAGTATCTCCTTAATATTTTATATTGATTGCATGTTGCAATAATAACATTTTGGATATATTGTGTAAAATAAAATATATTACTCAAAAAAAACAGACTCCTCTAATATTTCTATTAGCTATGTTCTTGGCAAATCTAAAATATGAATAATGCCAGAAATTCAGCTAAATAATTTTCTGCACTGTGATGCAAACCCAATGAACTTTGGCAATTCCATTATTTGAACATCTCCTGTATTTTTAATTAAAATATTATTAAACTTGAGGGCTGGTGGGTTAGCTCAGCTGGTCACAGCACTGTGTTATAATGGCAAGGTCGAGGGCTCTGATCCCCTTACCAGCCAGCTGCCAAAAAAAATTAATTAAACATTATTAAACTTGAGAAAAATGTACAACTTAATGGTACACACTGGACCAGAAGTTCCCTGTAGGTATCTGATGAGCACTGGCCACCTCTGAGCCCCAAAGTACTGATGGGCTAAAACGAATTAAGTCAGTCACTGCTTCACCCCAGAGATAACATTCAGGTTTCAGTATAATCATGCATTAACTGCCAGTGTAGTCCAAATCATTATTTTAGAAATTGAAGCTGGGCAGTCATTTATTTCCCTACTTTTAAAAATGATTCACTCTGGGGCCGGCCCGGTGGTGCACTGCTACAGTGCGCCGCTTGGGAGTGCGGTGGCGCTCCCGCCGAAGGTTCGGATCCCACATACACTCCGGTTCCCGCTCCCTGGTTGAGCGAGGTGTGGGAGCAACACCGAGGGTTGCGATCCCGTTGCCGGTCCCGGTCCGGTACGGGCGCAACACTGAGGGTTGTGATCCGTTGCCGGACACGAAAAAAGACAAAAAGGAAAATAAATAAATAAATAAATAAAAATGATTCGCTCTGGTAATGTTAGATCCTGTGAATTAAGTTCTTTCCTGCAAGTGTAGTAAGTGATAATGAAGCCCCGCCCACCCCCCTTCCCTGTGTACTGTCCATCACTTGCGTGCCCTTATCTTGTGGCTTAGACTGCACCAGGGGGGAGGTGGGGCGTGTTGTCCTCCCTCAGGCCACATGAGGGCGTTGCGCTAGGGCGGATCCACCGCCAGGAGCCCCAGCCACGCCTTCCCTGCCTTGCCCCAAACACTGCAGGATGCCAGGTGCAGGACGGGGTGCTGGACGGCGTCAGCCCTGCAGACTCACTCTTAAGGTCTCCCTGCACCAGAGCTGTCACTAAAAGAACAGGTCCACAAAAGGGATGTTTCCAAATGCTTCTTTGGTGGTCCCTGCTGTCACCTCCTTTGAAGAAGTGATGACTCAGTGCTGGGACATGAATAGAAGGGGCATCTTGTCGTGCTCAAGTGTGTCACTGTGGAAGATCGCCCACAGGGCATAGCGAGCAGCGTGACCACAGGGCCTGGGGCCCCTGGCCAGAGCCGTAAACAACGTCCTCTCCCCTCCCTGCTCCCTCTGACAAGGCACAGAATGAATGTGGGAAAGCTCGAGTTCCAAAGTCTGCACGTGCTTGTCCTGGGCCCTGGGAAGGTTAAGGCTTACCAATCACTCCGAGCTCGGTAGCAAACATCAGTGCGATCCCGATGGGGAGACCGACCACATAATACCCGATGGCATTAACGATGGCTCCAACCTTCTGGTTCCCAGTTCCCCTCAGAATGCCACTGCTCGTGCACTGCGGGAAGACCACGTTCTGGTCAGCGAGAACCACACCAGTGCTTCCAAAGGACTCCCATCCCCTGAGCACGTGCCATTCACAGGCCTCTGACCTGAAAACCCATGCCATGTGACAGTACTCTTTTAAACTGAATATGATTTCAATACTCAGTATTACCACCTACCCTAGCCCCTCTTCTCAGTGGAAATTTACCATCACCAGAAGAAATACATCATAAAAGTGCTTAAGGGAATAGGGCATAACACTTACAGCAAGACTTTCGAAGAGGTGGGATACAGCATAGATGGGAACCACCTGAGCCACCAGAGTGACGATGTCTCTGTTAGGAAATAAGAGCACATGGTCATTAGCAAGAGGCAAACGTGTGGCTCCGAGGTGATGGGGCCCTTCTTCTGCCACAGCTCAGTGAGGTCGGCCCTCACATGTGACCGATGCACATGGGCATCGCAGCCTACTGAGGGACACTTCTGCTTCTGCGTGGCCTGTAGAGGAAGCCAACTGCACACTGTGTCTCACAACTTTTTTTTTAAACATACAAATTTAACTTTATTTCCTCATTTTAATTTAAAGCTTGATTTTATTTTTTTATTTTTATTTTTTTCATTTTTGCAAGGCATTTCTTTCTTTTTTTTTTTTCCTTTAAATTTTTATTTTGTCAATATACAATGTGGTTGATTATTACGGCCCATCACCGAAACCTCCCTCCCTCCTGCCTCTCCCCCCTCCCACCCAAGAATGTCCTTTCCCTTTGCTTGTTGTAACAACTTCAAAAAATTGTAGTTGTTATATCTTCTTCCCCCCGCCCCGGTTTTTGTGTGTATGTGTATGTGAGTAGAATGATTTGTTTTTTAGCTCCCTCCGATGAGTGAGAACATGTGGTATTTCTTTTTCTCTGTCTGACTCGTTTCACTCAATATTATTCTCTCAAGGTCCATCCATGTTGTTGCAAATGGCAGTATTTCATTCGTTTTTATAGCTGAGTAGTATTCCATTGTGTAGATATACCACATTTTCCGTATCCACTCATCCGATGATGGACATTTCCGTATCCAGTCATCCGATGATGGAATCAGTGGGGCTGATTACAACTCTTGGCTATTGTAGAGTGCTGCAATGAACATTGGGGAACAGGTATACCTTCGACTTGATGATTTCCATTCCTTTGGATATATTCCCAGCAGTGGG